TGGGTTTCGGTGATTAGTGACAATACAAGATTATTATGACTAACATGTGTTTTGCAGAGGCAATTAAGTTAGGTCATGGTAATGGAGATCAATTGGGCAATCATGGTGGTCATGCCCCTACGATGGAAATCGTTTCGGTTTTCAAAGAATGGATGACAAGGTTAAGGATGACCAGTTCTAAGTGTCGATTGGAGTTGGAGAGACACTTAGAGTAGTTTAGGACTTTGTTTTTTTTTCTTTGGTCGTACTATTAAGGGGGGTATGGACGGGTAGCTTGACCTAGGTGAGTCTAGTGAGTTAGGTGTGATGCACACTTGTTAAAACTAGCACTAGGTAGCTCCAAAATAGCCCTTAGATCCAATGGAGCAAACTTCATTCATATATGATCGAGTGTTGGAAGTGAATGGAGGGTCAAATACTGATCGAACGCTGGCTCCGGTTTGACCGGACGCTGGCTCAGGGTCCGGTTAGTTCATTTGACCAAGGTGATTGCGTCTGGCACGGTCGGACGCTGAGAGGTCGAGTGACCAGACGCTGAGAGGCAGCGTTCGGTCGACTCTAGTAAGGTTTCAGAGAGGGAAAATCACGACCGGACGCGTCCGATCAGTGCTGACCAGACGCTGGCCAGCATCCGGTCACACTGTAAACACTAGAGTTCGGGGTGTACTGACCGGAGTGTCCGGCCAACTTGACCGGAGCGTCCGGTCACCCCGCAGAGGCACATAACGGTTCATTTTTTAGCCCATGTTATAAATACTCCCTCCACTCGTGTGTGGGGGTACTTTTGCTCATTCCAACAGCTGAGAAACACCTTAGAGAGTGCCAAGAAGAGCAAGGTCCTAGTGAGGTGATTGAGATTTGAGAATCGCAAAGAGAGCCCTCATTAGCAAGATCAAGAGTAGCAATGTGTGCATCTACCCTTCTCTCTAGGCTTGTTGTGGTCAAGTGAGAGTTCGTGCTTGTTACTATTGGTGATCGCCATCACCTTGACGACTTGGTGGTGATTGGGAGCTTGGTGATCATCTGGAGAGCTTGTGGATGACCCAACTCACATTGTGAGCGGTTGTGGGTGATTCACCGCGACGGAGTATCGAAGAATCAACCCGTAGAGAGCACTTGATCCTTGCGCGGATCAAGAGGGAGCTACACCCTTGTGTGGGTGCTCCAACGAGGACTAGTGGAGAGTGACGACTCTCCAATACATCGGCAAAACATCGCCGCGTTTCCTCTCCTCTCTATTTACTTTGAGCAATTCAATTCTTGTTCTTATATTCATAGAATTGTCATGCTAGAGTAGGATTAGAACTTAGGTTGTAAGTCTTTTGTGCATTAGTTCAATAGAAACACTTTCTAAACACAAATGGTTAATTGGACTAACCGTAGGACTTAATTATTGTAAAGAAATTTAGAATTAGCCCAATTCACCCCCGCTCTTGGGCATCTTGATCCTTTCAGACTTTTCAGCCTCGCCTGTTGGCCACCGCGCGCTCTCGCGCTCGCGAGCGTTGCGCCGCGTTGGGCCGAAAGCAGTTTACCTTTTTCGTGGAGAATAGAAATAGCTTTTCATTTGTATTTCTTAGCTGAACTTTGGTAAATCATATAAAATCATGTAGGTATCTAAAAATTGTGAAACCAATTTTGTAAAGTTCATAAAATTGTGCTCTATCTATTAGTATATTTAGTTCATATATATACTTGTCGATGCCAGGAGCTATCAAATTATTTGAGAATGCTTAATATTATTAGGTTAAATATTGTAGTAATTTTTGTGGCAAAATGATGATAGCTTTAGCTTTAAAAATTTTATAGTAGCTTCATGGTATTATTATGTGCTCACTGTAATTTTTGTAGCTTTAGAATAGACTTAACCTAAGGGTAGTTAAATGCTCTTTGTTTCAAATATATATTAATTCATTAGTAGAAATAAAGATGTATCCTTCATTTGTAAAGTTAGGTGTTTGCTAGTTGAACTGAACACTTTGCTTGATGAAGATGATAGTTAGCTTAGTATCTTAGTCATTAGAGCTAGCTTAGTAGTTTACCATGTGTATTCTTAATTTAGGAGCTGTTGTTGCTAAAATACTAAGTGTTGCATCATCATCGCATGCATGTAGAGAATGAGTTGGCGGAGATCGTAACCATCGGAGACCACGAGTTTGAGGAGGTGATTGAGGAGTATGAGGAGGAGATCCTCGTATAGGAGGAGGTCCTAGAGCCGCCACTGACTGACTGAGCTGACACTGTGCCTGTCCAAGGCAAGCTCCAGTGCATAACTCTTATTTTGAATGATCACTGGATATATATATATGTGATGTGCATTTACATTATAGGGTTTATATTGAAACTACATGCATAGATAACCTACCCATGAGTCCTACTAGCATAGGTCGAGTAGCTGCTATGCTTAGGCTATCGGTAGCGTGAGTAACCTATTGTTACTCGTAATTGGTGATTATTATTATCACTCTCTTGATAAAATGGTGAAAAGAAATAGAGATCGGGTAGGGATATGGTACGAGTATTGGTGGGTGTAAGAGTTTGTGTCCCACGGTCAACGGGGCATAGCTTGGTTACACTATTTTCCATGTCCGTGTTGGTTAAGGACCGACTGTTGCATTGGATTCTAGTCAGGCCACAGACTTATTATCTTGAGCAATACTTATTTATGGGAGCAGAGAATGCTCGTTGCTCTCTTATCATGGGTTCTGGCTCTTTCCGAATCGACTGATTGGAGACAGAGATGGTGGTCTAAGCACCACACTGAGTCCGGGACTCAAGTGTGGGGGCTTGGAGTCCAAGTTTGGACGGGGACCTAGACCCCTTGACAGGAGAGTGGTGGGTTGGTCTTGCTTATGCCTGGGGTACAAGCGGGGCGTGTGTTTTGGGGTACCCAGCTGGACTACATTGGTTCATGAATTGTGATGTAATACGGTACGACTTGTCTATGATTTAGCACCGTAGTAAGAACTAGAAGATAAAAGATGGTAAAATAGATCTGATTGCTCAACTCTTGTTTGAAAATAGAACAGGTGCTTATATAGAATGGTTAGTTAATGAACTAATCATGACTGCTAGTAAAACACATACATAAGGATTCACTATTAGTAATATTTTTTGCAAAAAGAAAACCAAGCAAACCATAAAGCTTACCATATTCTTTGGAGTCAGGAAATTATTCCCACTAATCGGGTAAGTCTTGCGAGTACATTGTGTACTCAGGGTTTATTTACCCCTGTTGCAGGTGTAGCTTGAGGAATGACTGTTGTGTGGAGGATTCTTCTGGTGGGCACAGACAGATCCTTGTATCTTATCGCTAGATGATTATTTCAATTCCGCTGTTTAAATTCCGCACTCTGAACTTGGTATTGTAATAATGTATTTTCGAGAACTATTGTTGTTTGAATTGGACTAAGTGATGTAAACTCGTTCTCATTATTAGATCCCTGGTGAAAAATGTGGATCGTTCGAATTCTCTCTCGGGGTGTGCTCGACGGAACCGTCTGATGTAGCTTACTTTCAGGGTGCTTAGTGTCTGGTGAGAGACGAGTTCCTCCGGAAAGTGCTATTCCGGACGGTTCTACCACACTTTCACTTGAATCTAGTTGGCGTAGAAGGAAAAACTAGTGGCAATTAGATTGGACTAGGCACGAAGTGATTCAAGAGCTAGTAGCAAAGCAAGAGGATGAAAGGGTTGGGGGAGGGGGGATAAGGATGGCAATCCTATGTACGGATGTGGATGCAAAATTTCACTCACGGGTGCAAGTACATGTTCAAAATTCTACCTGTGGGTAAATGTGGGAGTGTGTTCACCCGTCATTGTTTAAAATTCAAAGGATTCCATCTATTGCAATGACAATCTAACATGTGAATGTGGGTACCATGGCTATCATGCTCGATAGGTGTAGGTGAAAAATGTTAACTATATTTTTTTCTCAAGTACTTAAAAGGATTGCGCATGAAAATTTTACCCATTAGTAAATTCACTCCACCCGTGTACCTTAACATCCTACACCTTTATGTGGCTTATAAGCCAACTGATGCTGTTTTGTTGTGAGAGAAAAATATTGTATCATAGTTGATAAGCATGGTTGATACGATCAAGCAAACAAGGTGCTAAGACTTAGGAGCGAGGCCACAGGGCAACAACAACCATAGGTCAGTGAGGCTATCGTTTTTTGTGTTGGTGGGTCCAAAGGAAGAAGCCGCAAGAGACAAGAAATAATGACAATGGCCTAAAGTCGAAGTTGGTAAAGCAAAAAAAATAGTAATTTTACAGTTCCTAATTTATTTAAAAAGAGATAAAAACATCTCTTGTTATAGGATGTGGAGGAGCTAGAGCTGGTTGAAGCTACTACACCAAACGAGACCAAAAGAGTTAAGAATTTGTGTGCTTTCTAGACAGCCCATCATTTACTATTATTGGTCCAGTTCGGCTCGTTGAAATTTGGCTGAAACTGGTTAAAACATACTGTTCTTGCTAAATTGTTGTGAGAAAAAAACATTATTCCAGCTGAAAAAATAAGCCGAACAAACCGATTTCTGGCTAACCCGAAAGAGGCCATTGTTTTAATTAGTGACAAAAAAAAAGAAATTTATTTTTTCATCTCCAATTTCTCACCACGAGCCCACGACCATCCTTCTCTCCATTTTTCTCTCCCCACATTAAGGATCCATCACTATCCTATACATTGACCTCTCCCTCTATCCTCCCCCTCCTTCCCGTCCTCTCTCTCTCTCTCTCTCTCTCTCTCTCCCAAACCGCACCTGTTCAGCTGTGTCACAGTTAACTCTGCCATTGTTCCTCTATTTCTTCGTTGCAAGGATCAAACACAAAAGTTCTAGTGATGATCTCCTCCTCCTCAACATCTGTCTCCATCACAAGAAGAAGGGGCGGACAGGAAGACGACACAAGATTCAGGCGACACTCCCACCATTGCTGCTGACCACTCCCCCTCCAAATTGTCTTCTTTCTCCTCCTACCTGGCTCTCTAGATCGAATCATGGGTCAGGCGCTCCCCCTGACCCGGGCCATGAGCCACTACACCATGCATGCAGCCATCAACTACGCCGCGCTGCCACCCACGTCGCCGCTGCAGCTCCCCCTCCCGTACCTCCCGCCGCCGCCTCCGCCGCCGTTATCGCTACCGCCGCTGTTGACGCCGCCGACACCGGTGGCGACGGCGTCCTCTGACGCGGGCTTCCAGAGCAGGATCAGCCCCAGCGTCCTTCTCATCATCCTGATCTTGGCCATCATTTTCTTCGTCTCCGGCCTGCTGCACCTCCTCGTCCGGTTCCTGCTCCGCCCGGCGACGCGGGATCCCGGCGACGCGTACGGGGGCGACGCGAACGCCACCGCCTTCCAGGGACAGCTCCAGCAGCTGTTTAACCTCCACGACGCCGGTGTCGACCAGTCCTTCATCGATGCGCTGCCGGTGTTCCTCTACGGCGCCGTGGTCGGCGCCGGAGGGAAAGACCCCTTCGACTGCGCGGTCTGCCTCTGCGAGTTCGCGGACGACGACCGCCTCCGCCTCCTCCCCAAGTGCAGCCACGCGTTCCACGTCGACTGCATCGACACGTGGCTGCTGTCGCACTCCACCTGCCCGCTCTGCCGCCGCAGCCTCCTCGCCGACTTCTCCCCCTGCGGCGGCGGCTGCAGCCCGCTGGTGTTCGTCCTCGAGTCCGGCTCCGAGGGCTCGGTCTCCGATCGCCTCGACGCGGCGTCCTCCGCGCGCCTCAGCTTTGTCATGGAGCAGGACCAGGCGGGGCAGGACCGGAAACACGCCGCCGCAGAGGCTGCAGAGAAGAAGGACGAGGTGGTCGTTCCTGTGAAGCTCGGCAAGTTCAGAAGCCAGGCCACCGAAGGAGCCGGCGGCAGCGTCAACCCTGGAAGCCAGGACGTGAGGCGGTGCTTCTCCATGGGGACCTACGAGTACGTCATGGACGAGAGCTCCCTGCTCCGCGTCGCCGTGACGCCGCCGGAGAAAAAGCGCCCCGCGACTCGCATGCCGGGGCACCGTTTTGCCATGTCGGAGTGCGACTGCCACTCTAAGCGGGAAGGCTTCCGCGGGTTCGATGCGCCGCCCAAGCAGCAGCAGCCGTCGAAAGCGGCGGTGGACAAGAGGGAGAGCTTCTCCATCTCCAAGATATGGATGCGCAGCGGGCAGAAGAGGAAGGACGTGTCCTCCGGCGCAATCGCTGCGCCGTCGTGCTCGACCTCGCGCCGCGCGTCCTCGTTCCGGCTCCCCTCGGCGCTCCAGCGCACGGCGAGCGACGTCGGGGTGACAGCGGCGGCGGTCGTCCCGAAGCGCCGGGCGGACGTGGTGAGCCCCGTGACGGAGTCCGAGTACAACGTGTCGACCTGGGACAAGAGCGCGAGCGGCAGCGTCGTGGATTGGGACGTCGAGTCCGCGGGCGGCAGCGGGCACGGCCTCAGCTCCAGAGCCGACGAGGCGCCGTCGTTCGCCCGGCGGACGCTGCTCTGGATCAGAGGCCACCTGTGAAGTGAATCGAAGCAGAGATCTTGGCTTCTACCACCTGGTTGTTCCCCTCCTCCTCCCCGTGTAACTGTGTATGCATGCATCTTCTGCTGCAGCAACAGATCGCAGGAAATTTGCATTGCTTGGCGAGTGGAAGAAATGGTGGATATGAGTTCGAGGTAAAAAGGATTACGGCTCGAGATTTTCAGATGGTTTCACATAGCATTTCGCAACTGTGTGTAGTAGATTAGCTGTATTTGCCTTGCCTTTTTACTGTACATTCAAAATTGCTTCAGTAGGGTTTTCTTCAGGGTAAATTCTGAACTGAAGATCTGAAATGGCAGAACCCTATATTGCTTCAGTAATTTGCTGGAAAGGCATGATCACAGGTTTGAAAGAAATATGGCCTAAACAGGAAAGCTGAATTAAACGCATAATCTAACAAAACTTAACTGAAACAGAATCTTTCTGCACATGTTAACACAAAATGTGAACTTGCATAACGATTCAAGGAATTTCCTAGTCATAACATCTCCCTCAGTTCGCCTCTTCTTCCATTTCATTTGCTCTGAATATTTTTTTCTGAACTGGAGCATTTACTCTGGATCTGGCTGTACAACAGCTCAGGGAAGAGGAGCAGAAATTTGAAAACTCCAATTCCAGCTGCTCATGTCATTTATTCCTTGCCTTGTTCAATTGAGCAACACGCTGCTGCCATCATTGCAGCCTTGAATGCCGGAGCCAGTTAGTAGGTGCTCCACTTTTATTTCACTTCTCCATAGGAGTAACTTCTTGACTTGCAGCCAGCAAATAAGGACGTTGTTTGGATTGTTCGTTAGGCCTTGTCTAGATGATATGAAAGTTTCAAGTTTTTTTACTCTCCTTTTATCGCATCAATTTTTGGACGTATGTATGGAGCATTAAATATAGGTAAAAAAAAGTAACTAATTGCATAGTTTGGTCGTAAATCACGAGACGAATCTTTTGAGTCTAGTTAGTCCATGATCGGACAAAGTTTATCAAATACAAACGAAACGTGCTACAGTGTCCAGATTGTAAAAATTTGCAATCTAAACAAGGCCCTCAGTGTAGTGCCCAATCCGTAAAAGAAAAGGAAAATACTTAAAAAAAAAGGTGATACTAGCAAGGTTGCTGCCGGTGCAAGTTGCTTCATAGTTTGAGGCCGGGGGACAATGTTGAGTTAGGAATCCTTAAGCATGTGCAGCTTTAGATAATTAGACCAAGGGTCAACGCTTGCATCATAAGAAAAATATATAGTTGACCTATTGGCAACCATAGAACGGATAAACACTGTTCTAGCTGAAAACATTGTTCTAGTTGACCTGTGGCCCTGTTCGGCTTGCTGAAATTTGGTTGAAAACATTGTTCTAGCTGAATTATTGTGAGAAAAAAATATTATTTTGGTTGAAAAAAGAAGTCGAACAACCAAACAGGGCCTTTAATCAAGATCAGGATCTGCTGATTGGGCGACCCGCTTCCGGAGCTATCTGCTTGATTCTGCTCTTGTCCCAAGCCTCCCACTGTCAGGTAGGAGTTAATTGACTATATTGACTATAGTGCATAGAGCAAATAAATCAAGTTATAAAAGCTAAGTTTTACAATAGTTGTCTTCTATTTAACTATAATTTTTTGTTATTATATGGTTTCATATCTTGCATTCTCTTTATTTTTTTATTCCTCCTTATATACGCTTTTATCTAGGCCTACCAATGCATATGCTTCTGTGTCCAACTTATTGCTTACATGAGAGTCAAGCTTTTCTCTCTTATTCTTTCTTTCCTCCACATCAGCAAAAGTATTGACGAGCTTAGCTATAGGACCATTGTTGTCCTTGTCTAAGTAGGAGTACTTGGAGGCCAAAGCAATTGAGTTCAACCCCATGTTCTAGCACCACAGCAGCTCTGATCTTCCCTTCGTTAGTTATGTTGATCTCTCCGTATTGGCCGAGTTCATGGGTGTGTTGGCGAAAGGGGGCCATGGCTGCCGCATCCCGGCGGTCCAAGCATTATCATTGGCCGAGTAAAATTCACGGCGCATCTTTCAACTTGACAAGAGATGTCATCTAAGTCCTCTTAAAACAATTCTAGATGTTTCTATAATTAACTTGCTAAACCAATAAAGTTTAGCGAGTTAACAAAAGTAGTAAGTTGGTCCACGTAAAATAGTGCGGATAGCTAGTTTGCTTATTTAGTATTCAGATTTTTTTTAATAGCCTTTTTAGTTTTTACAAATCATTTTGTTTGTTTATTTGATTATAATTGTCTTCTTTCGATGCGCCTTTACTCTATCTATCTATGGTGTGAACTTCAATCCGGACTTAGGGCTACTATATATCATCTTTCTTTTCTCTTCGTTTTTTTCTATTACTATCTCGTGACTGCATAATTTTAGCTGAGACCAAATCAAATAGCCTTCTGTCTCATTCTGATGAGCTCTATTGGCAATAAAATCACTTTCCATGTCTTTATCTAGTTCCTTAGCTCTTTGTAGATTTAAATTTGAGATGGTCTTGCTTCTTCTATTGTGGATCTTTAGCTTCTTTTTTTTTCCTAGCCATCCGCTAAGAGTCTGACATAACAGTTCAATTCCACGTAATCATGAGTCAATTTAATAGACAACTCATATAGTGAGTTATTCTCTTAGTTGTCTCATAATAGCTCACAATTCCTTAAATTCGTGCATAGAATAAAAGGAATATTATGAGTTGCCAGACTTGTCACATAGTGCTATTTTTTAGCTTACTGGGTGGTTGTTTCGTAAACAATGACCTCTTTCTCTCACCTGATATCTCTGCTCATCATCAAAATTTCTATATGGTTTTGCATTAGACTACCTATGAGACCACTAAGACCACTAACATGTAGCAATATACATGCCCTTAGCTAAATCGCGTTGGAAGGATCTGGATATGTGCAAAACTGGTTTCTCGTTGTTCGCGGCTTTGGTTGATTTTTTTCATTGAACTGATGCCGGTCCGAATCTCTAATTTATAGGTCTTTGTATTTAACATGGATATATTATTTATTTTCAATTGTTAGATCATCACAAAATCTAACTGTGCATATTGTTTTTTTTCTTTTTTGGTTAATCTTGTAATTTTTAGGCCTTATATTTGATATGAATACTATTTGTTCTTGCCATTAGATCATCATAAAAATCTAATGGTGTATATTTCTTCTTTTTCTGATTAATCTCATAATTTCTAATCTTGTGTTTGACATGGATACTCTATTTGTTACTCCCCCTTCCAAATTATATGTCACTTCGACCATTTTGGTACATAGGTTTCACTATGACATACGTTATATCTTATATTTAGATATATAGTAAAATTGATGTACAAAAAAGTCAAAACGACTTATGATTTAGAACGGAGGGATTATTAGCCATTAGAGCATCATAAAATACAATGGTGCATATTTCTTTTTTTCCCGATTACTCTCAAAATTTATAGGTCATGTATTTGATATGGATACTATACTTGTTCCCGCTTGCTAGATCATCGTAAAACCTAATGGTGCAAATTCTTTCCTTTTTTGATTAATCTCATAATTTCTAGGTCATGTATTTAACATGGATACTCTATTTGTCCTTGGCCATTAGATCATAGTAAAACCAACGGTGTATTTTTTTCTGATTAATCTCATAATTTTTAGGCCTTTGTATTTGACATAAATACTCTCTTTATTCTTAGTCATTAGATCATCATAAAAATCTAATGGTGCATATTCTCTTTTTCTTTTTTATTAGAATTACACAGTGTAACGCAAACGCTCACAACACGCACGCACATTCACCCATACGAACACATGTATGTGTCAATGTTTTACCACCGGCAACCCGTCACGGGGTACCCGGGACGGTGATTTGTTCGGAGGGGTATCGGCGTTTGCAGGAACTCGATGGTAAAAGCAGGGAGACAATGATTTATACTGGTTCGGCACGCCGAAAAGTCACGGCGCCCTACATCCAGTCTGGTGTGGATAGTATATTGCGCCCTACGCTATTTGTTGTGTTGCGAGGTATGTTGTGGTTGTGAGTTCTGTCGGTTATGTGTAGGTGCCGATTTAGGGACCCCTGTCCTCCTTTATATAGTCCAGAAGAGGCGGGAGTCCTAGTCGGTTACAAAGTAGAGATCCTAGTAGGATTACGTGTAACTAGTTCTAGTAAGATTACATGTAGAGAATCCTATTTGGACTAGGTCTTCTTCTCTCTTCTCCGTGGGAAACCCCATGGGTCCCGCATCGACAAGCCCCCGAGTATCTCATGGATGAGCTTCAGAAGCCTTCTTGTTCTTCTTGGCCTTCGTTGAGTTGTTGTAAATCCGTTCCTGGTTCTTCTGAAGTGAAACCTTGAGATGATCTTTTGGTTGGTTCGTCATGACTGATGTGCATTTTTTTTCTAAAAAAATGCACTCAGTGAGTGTAGCCCCCGAGCCTCTTGCTTGTTGGGACAAGAAGCCAGAGGGTCCTTTAGTCTTCTTAGTTGCTCCGAGTTCTTTTTCTGTGGGTGCAATTTTTCGTAAAAATTGCACTCACTGAGTGTAGCCTTCGAGCCTCTTGCTTTTGCTTGCAAAAGTTGGAGGGTCCAGATTCTTGTCTTCAAAAATTTCTGGGGTTATGTATCCCGCAGCCCCCGAGCCTTCTCCGAGTACTTTTCTTTAGAATAGAAATCGGATGAATGGTCTTGATGTGTTGTCGTTGTTGTAGTCTTGAGTACTTGTATTCTTGGTCTTTCGTCCTTCAAATCCGAGCCCCCGGGCCTAGTTGAAGCGAATGCCGAGCCCCCGAGCTTAGTGTTTGACTAAGCCGTGATGCTCTTCCGAGTTGTTTTTTATTCATCCAGGTTGTTTCTAGACTTCTCTGGTTCTTGATGTACCTCTTCCAAGTTGTTTGCACTTCGTCCAGGTTCTTTCTCAACTTGTATGTACCTTATCCGGGTTGTTTTCTGATCAATCCAAGTTCTTTTTTGTCTTGATTTCTGTTCCCAACTTATCTGGGTTG